AAGTGTGGAATATGACCCAGGGAATTACTGACCAATATAGAGGGTTGCAGCCACACAGGCAATCTGAAACCAAAATGAAAGAACGGGCCATGGAAAGACATAAAAGGAAAAATATGTCCCTTTACCCTTTGAAGTAAAAGGCCTGGGCCTCACTGAGGAGCCTAGTTCATGAATAACCCGATGTAGAGAAGAGGTGGTCACAGTGAACTTGAGTTGTATCCAGACTCAGTCCCATTAACCAAATCATCTTGCTGAACCTGTAAAAAGGGGTTCCTTACTGGGATCTGGAGACTCAACATCAAATAAGTTGAACTTGAAGAAACTAGTTATTTGTGCCTCATAAATCTCCCAGAGGGAGTTTCAGGGAATGTTTGGGAAATGCCTGTTTTTTTCACTCATGACTCAGTGTCTCGCCTCCTCAGATTTGTGCTCCTGCTGGATCATGTGCGTGGCTCTGTTTAATGTTCTCTTTGAGACAGAATGCCCTGTTATCAGCTAGGCACTAGACCTCTGCCTTAGGCCACATAACCTTCTAATCAGTGTCTTGCCTTACAATGGCCATGTGTGATAGTTTGTTTTAAATGTAACTGGAATAATTTTACAACTCTAGTAGGTAGTAAAATTGAGTAATAGAGAGTCTGTGTTGTCACCCTCATTGTCTACAAGTAAGAAAACTTGGTGTATCGACCTTCCCAGATCGACAGCCAGTGGTCAGTCTACAGAAACTCATGCCCAGTGACTCCCAATGACCCATATTTGTCGCTCTAACACACTTCACCTAAAAGGCAGCTAGAACCACAAAGTTGCCTAACCCCTGAAGCCATGGACCAGGTGGGAAGCTGAAACACAATGTGTGCTCTCTAGGGTTTCTTACAGCAGGGTGGTGTTCTCACAAAGAAAGGAGTTTGCACCCTTGCCTCCTCTCCATTCATCCTCCCCTCCCTTGTCCTATCTTCCTTTTAGCACTGAACATTGTTTTTGATCTCCATGTTGACCATATCTGTAAATGGCCAGTGTCTGGGAAATGCTCCATGTGGCTGCCAGCTCTGTGCAAAAACTCAAATCCACTGAGTATAATCAGCTTCCCCCTCCCAGCACCCTTCAGAGAGAAGTTGGTGATCATAGGCAGAGGGCCTCATTTTATGGGAACCAGTTAGACTCCAGAGAGCCCACGTATGCCACTTTTGGAAAAGCCACCAAGGACCTCTAATATACTAACTAACCTGGGGACCTCTCCCTGAAATACAGAGATTCTGTTAGCAGCATGGTCTGAGCCACTCATGAACAGGTCATTGGCCCACACCTGTATTCCTGGGGTGCAACTCTGAACTTCAAGTTCCAATTGCTTCTGTGTGTAGCTGGGCATTGTGCAGACCTGCTTAAGGACCAGAGAGCAGAACCCCACACTGTGAGCTGATACCCAGACTATCCCAGACCAGCAAAAACTAACTCAGATTGTACCCTTCTTAAATATTCCTTTGCACATTTCCTGAAAAAAGACTCTTTTCAATAGGGAAGCTGTCCTGGTAAACAGAGATGTTCAATGTGTCTGAGGCCATAATCTAAGAAGATGCTTTCGAAGGCAATCCTGAGAGGTGCTCATAGCTGGCCCTAGCCTACCCTATATCTGACACAGGGCTGGAAACAAGAAATATTTTGCTTTGCCCTCAGATGTGTGCATAATCTACATGCTAAACGTACACCTGCCCCTGTGCTGACTCTGCTTGGTTCCAGTTTGCCTGTTTAACCCCAAGAGAGGTCTTCATTCTCTCTCTTTCTGGAGGCTGGATGAGATCATGTGCAGACTAAATCAGCTCGGAGCTACAAGATCAGTACTGAGCAGGGACTGGGGTTGGCAATGCTAAGGGATACCTGGCCCAAGACTAATTCCCTCCCATGGGCTCCTGCAGGGAGTGTGACATTGGTCAGAACAGCTGTGGGGAGACACACCTCAGTGGGCTTTCTGGAGCCCATCAAAGCACAGAGTTTGGGCTATGTGCATCAGATTGGGGCTTTCTCAAGTCTTCTGGTGCTATTCCAGTCAGCGGAAAGGGCAGAGTCTAGACTAGAAGTTGCAGATTAGAGGTTTACAGGCCAGGCTTCACCTATAGATAGGTGTTCTTGGCACACACAGTGTTTTTTTAAACATTTTTTTCCATTAAGTTTATTGGTACATTTTAGGTTTACAATACATTTACATTCATCATTGGGATCTTGCACCTTTACATGATGTATCTTGGTTCTTATTTTTTCCCCATTCCCCTCCCCTCCCTTCACCCTCTCCAAATTACCAATATTTTAAAAAGAGAAAGACATTTTAGAATCTTTAATTCTAAATTCTAGCTCCTTGTGAAAAGTGAGGCTATCTAGCATTACTAGGGCTACACAGAGAGTCAACCAGAGTAGAAACAGCCGGTGCCACCTGTAGACAAGATGCAGTGGGTGTACAGGGTCATCAGGAGCAACAAACCCAGAGAAAGTGCTGGGTCAACAGGAAGTCAGAAGCCCCTGCTGGAGACAGCAGAAGGATTTTGTTCAGAGCAATAGACCAGTCTTGGCACAGGGCAGGAATGGTCTCTCACGCTGGCAGAAAGAGGCCATTGTTTGCCTTTGTTCTCTGCCATTAGGCCATGAGTCATTCTTGCTGCTGCCACCAGAAACCAAGAGCCTTGGAGCCCAGGATATCACAGCCAAACTGGGAAAGTCTCTGCCTGCCCCTACTTATGAGGACGCATACATACCCTAAAGTATAGGTGGCACTGCATCGGTGTTGTGGTGCAAGAATCAAGTGTTTTTACAAACAGCATCCAGCAGATTTCAGCACATTCATTGAAGCTGAGATTTGGATCTGAAATCTCAACTATCTCAAGCTCTGGCGCTACCAAGCCTGCCACACAATTGGCTGATGATTTGAACTCACAATTTGTCAAGAAATTTTACCCTTGGAAGACTGAGAAAACATAGCAAATCTTCATTGGCACAAAAATGAATTGGTCAAATTCAGCAAGAACTTTCAAACCTAGAAGTGGCAAATAAAGAGTTATCACAATCCAAAATACACCAGGCCAGGACATCCACCTCTCTGGCACAAGCAAATCAAAGCCTAGTACCTCATTCATAGCAAACAAGAAGGAAGATTTAGAATAAACAGGATATAACAAACACATCATTGAGCGTAAGACTGTTTAAAAACTCTCAAATGCCATTCTTGGGATAATGCCAAGGGACAAGCCAATCTTCCCACAAGTGGTGCTGGGCACCTACATCATAATCCTTGACCCAAAGACTCTGACAACTGAGTAGAAATACTCCATAGAAAGATATAGAGCAGTCCAGAAGAAAAGCCAGCGCAAGAAAGCAGATAACTCAAGCATGACAATTCTGCCATTCTCTGACCTCCTGGTATGTTGTCACATGCCAAGCACTACCTTCCTGAAACATCAGCCTCCTGACAGTTTTCTCACAGGTTCCCACGCACATTCAAATTTTTATAGTCTTTGGAAAGTTTTTATAACACACCATCATCTTTGTCCTTTATCGTTTCCACCTCAAAACCATATCAAATACTTGAAACCATATCGTAGACTTGAAAATATAATCTAGAAGATTGTTTTATGCTCTCTTTGTGAAAAGGCTCTCCTGTCAGTTAAGGTTCCCTTCCCTACACTACTTTTTTTCTTGAGTTTTCCAAAGAAAGATTCAATTAAAATAAAATTTAAAAAAAGGAACAACTTCTGTTGCTACTCGTATTTTCAGGGACTATTATGAGCAAGACAAACGCCATACAATCTAAACAGAAAATGAAATGGTGCCAAGAATAGGGTAACTTATTAATCAGTAATGAAAAGATAAATTAACAACAACCTCCGGGCTGTTGGAATTAGTTTGTTTTTTTTTCTTGGTACCAGGGATCAAACTCGGGTCCTTGCGCTTGCGCAGCAGGCAGCGAAACCACTGAGCTAAATCCCCAACCCTGTTGGAATTAGTTTTTATGAAGACATCTAACTCAATCTACTCACTTAAGCAGATATCTTTTGTTCTTTAAATAACTGATGAGCACCTTTTATGTCCCAAGGGCCCTATCGGGAGCTCCAAAGCACACACATGAACTTTTAGCATGGCTTCATTTTTAAAATAACTAAAAATGCAAGAATAATTTAACTCTACAAAAACCTATTAACAGGCTTAATTTTTAAAAATTTAATTAGCTTCTCAATAGATTCTGAAATGATGTGATAAAAATTCAATACTCCTTTGTGATAATTGAAGCTCATTAACAGTATTTACAGTACAGTAAAACTATTCAGAGGAAGAATGGTTAAGGCAATTATGATACATTCACATACAATAAAACTACTATAAGTGTTAGTGAAGATGACTATGCAGCAAAATTTTAAAATGGAGAATCACTACATGATATTAAGCGTATAAAACTTAAGGGCCAAATTGCACGCCTGTGTGACCACAACCTTTAAAATTATCTGTACACATAACGACAACAACAAAAACAAACAAGGAGAGGACATTATTTGAATGCTAGGAAAGCAGCTGTTTTGTTTTGTTTTGTTTTGTTTTCATTTCGACATCTATTAAATTACGTTAGGATATGTATATAACTGCATATAACAGAGGGAACAAGAAGAGGAAAGGGGCAGAAAATAAGCTGACGAATTGACTTTCTAAAACTCCAAATGCCACCGATGGTCAAACTGCGGTTCCTGTGATAAGATGTGGGTGACACAGCCAGCAGAGCTCAGCGTACCCTGCTAGAGAAAGTGCCGCCTGAGAATCTGTCTAACCAGCTCAACAGGTTATTTGGCTCAGGCCAGCTCTTCTCTGCCCTCAATGTTCAGGCTGGTTTCACCTGCTGTCTAAACACTGCGTGCAGAACAGCCAACCCCACCTCCAGGTGGCATGGGAAAGGAACCAGGGGCTCAGAAAGGGACTTTAACACAAGAGCTGCTTCAAGCCCTGTCCCCTTCCATCCCGCCTGCCCTTACCTGTTGGAGCATTTCTTCGGCAGCATTGAGTTTCACCTGGTGTCCTTCCAGACAGACTTCTAGGTCCCGAATTTTTTCTCCTTGGGCTTCCACTTGGTCTGTGAGGACGCTCACCTGTTGCAGGAAATACAGCAACAATGGAGGAACAAGGTCTGTGTTATAAAGTGCCCCACCAGCAGGTGAGCAGTTAAAGCACACCACTGACTCTCACATGCTAGGGACAGCTGTTCTTTTAGGTAAGTGGAGGGGAGGAATGGCTTGGAAGAAGGCAACTCCAGGTGGAATCTTACCTTATTAGGGAGTCTCACCCACTGCTTGAATGACTTTGGTCACCTTCCTGCCCTCGATAGTCTCAAAAGAAAAGCACAAACAGCTGAGCGCTGCCTCTGGGCTGGACTCTTGCACCTATTCCTCTTACTAGGACAGCCAACCTCAAGGCATATCTTACTTGGCATGCTAGGGCTTCTGCCACCTCATGGGGAAGAGCAGTCCAAACCTCCATGGAAATTAACCAATGACCTTACCCCTCTCATAAAAGCGTGAGGACTGCTCACCTATCAGATGAGGGTTTTGAAGCAATTAAAGAATGTGGGACGTAAAGGGCATGTGTTAGCACTGACAAAACTTGGCTCCAGGAAGGTTTTTGTGCTTCACAGGCCAAAACATGACTCTAAGACATAGATACACGGAAGCCACACTGCACACACATGGCAGAAAAAAGTCATTTTTCTGAGGACCTCTCAGATTCTTTGGAAATATTAACTAATAAAAACCTAGTTGCAGTAAGTCATTTAAGTTATGCCCTAAATACATGAGGGTTTTCATAACCTCTATTATAACCAAACTGCTCTAGGATCTTTTTTCTTTTTTTAAAGACATAGCAAAGCAGGAAGATGAAGAAAGGGAATGGGTGGCTTCTTCAAGTAAAAACATCAACTGATGGTAAATTGAGAATTTTTTAGTTAGTCATTGCTTTTTACATATAGATTATTCTAAATTATTTCCCAGTCTGTAATAGGATGACAGAGGGAGGATGAAAGAGTTTAGTTCATTTATGACTGTTTAAGTAAACTTTATGAATTACAAAGTTCCCATGAATCTAAATGAGCATGGCTACTCTAAGCCTTCCATTTTTTATTCACCCAAATGTTGAATAAATTATTGAAACATTCCTGAAGTTGATGCATGAGGTGCTAACTTTTCAATTTTAAACCATCAATTGACTCCTTCTGTCAACAAAGCTCATCTTAAACAACAGAGCTTTTTGTATTTTTCTTGCTTGCTTTCCAATCCTTCTTCAACACTATCAGCAGTCCTGGCCTTTTCAACTACTAATTCCACTTCCAAAAAAGTAACACTGAGGTGCGTGGGTTGGTGGGTGGACACACATCTCTGTTCCCTGGGACCCAGAGTTTCCGGTTGGGAAGGATGTTTTATGGTTAATCCCATTTTGAGGATCAATACCTATATGGTCCCACAGTGCCTTGAGGCCACATGCTGGCAGCAGCACCCTGAAGAATAACATATGGTCCTAAGCAATAGTTCATGGTGTAGCTGCACATAGGACTAAAGACATCCAGGGTTGCAGGGGCCTTGAAAACCTCAATACTAGCCCGAAGTATTATAAATGAAGAAGTATAGAAAATTGCGACACAATGCATAATGATCTCAGAATGTGACCTTCATTCAACAAAAATGAGAATTTTTCGAGCCCTTACTACACACTATGACATAATTTCAGGTACAGGGTCTGGGGATTCAGAAATAGGAAAAAAAAAGATGAAATTTCCTGCCTTAAAGGGACTGCATTATAATGAAGGTATAAAATGTTTTTAATTAATCTCAGAGACAAAGTATTTTGTTCTTTATGATTGGTCTTGTTCTTCTGCAAACAGATGCAGGAAAACATTATGGGCCAAAGGTTCCAGTTAATTCAGTCTGGATTAGCTGTCATGTGAATTTATCAAGAGGCTATATGCTGCTAAGGGTCTGTCTAAACAGCGCTAGGCCCAGGAGAACAGGAAACAGCCCAGTGAGCACAGAATGCTGAGAGGAGCCTGTCCACAAGCTCCCGGCAGAACAGAAACCACTAGGGTCAACTTCTGACTTTGCTGGTAAGTAGCTTCCCAATTGTGTTAAGACCCTTTCAATAGGGATTATTCAGGAATTGAGTTTTTTGTGTTTTTTTAAAAACCATGGATATGAAAGAGAACACTTTCATATAGGTCTTCTTTATTAAATTGTAATCCTCTCTAAATAGGAATGTGTCATTCCAATCGTGAAAGGTCCTGGTTCAAAAGCTCGCAATTTCCTATTGTTTGCTACAAAATTCTAAATTGGGTATTTTTTCATTAATCATGGTGTTGGGATGGCGTTTCAAATTATACATCTCTCAAAACATATGTGCTATAAAATCTGGCCCCTGCTACTTCTCTGAAGCCCCCTCCCCCCCGCCAGCTTCACAGAAAGACTCTAGCCCCAAGGGTCCCTTGATGTTTCTACCGCACACTAAGCATACTCCTGCTGCAGTGTGGACTGGACCGTTAACCTCTTTGGTGTAGAAAGCACTTCTACAATTGAATGCATGGCTCGTTCCCTAACTCCCTCCTATTGGGAGCTTCTCTGGCTACCAGTCTTTATCTGGCCTTTTCTCTATAATACTTAACATTGCTTCAAATTCTCTCTCTTCTTTGTTTCTCCTCCCTGTTCCTCCCCTCTCCTCCTCTTCCCTGTCCCCCAGCACTATAAGAATAGGGAATTAGTCCATGTTCTTCACAGCTGTGTCTCCAGCATCTAAAACTAGGTCAGACAGATAAGTTGTAGGTACTCAATGATTTTATGCTTTTAGAATCAATGAAGTAAAAAAAATAGAGTGCTAAATTGTATATTTGGTATGAGCTCAACTATTTAAAATAGAAGCAGGGCAGGGGGGAAAAGCCACTAGGAAAAGGTCAAAATGTTAGTCTTTTCCTTTAAATTATTCAGGATTCTTTTAGAATTTCCAAAGTTTCTAATTGATTTATTTTATGTTTATAATATAAAATTTTTTAAAGTAAAATAAATAAGCTAAGAAGAAAAACAATAATCATGCTTCTACCTCACAACCCTAGTGATACCAACTAAAGCTCACACCCTGAGAGGGTAGGGGTCTGGCCCTCCACCTGTTCCCTCCTCCATTCCACCACCAGTCTTATTCATCACCCTTCAAGCTTTTGAAGGAGCTAAGACTAGGATATTAATCTTTATATACTCCAAATTGTCAATTAATATCTGACATATACTAGACTTGAGTAAATGCTTATAAATCTAGTTAGGCATTTGACAGCTAACACAGCAAAGAGCTACTTCAGCAATAAGCTTCTGTAAGAAGGCCTAACTTAGACAGCTGAGGTGGTGCATCCCTATATATAATACCAGCACTCTGGGAGGCTGAGGCAGAAGGATCATAAATTCAAGCCCAGCCCAGGCGCCTGAGTGACTTAGTGAGACCCTATCTCAAAATAAAAAATGGCTAGAGATATGTCTTAGTGTGAAGGCCCTGGATTCAATCCCTGGTACTGAAGGGGAAACAAAAAAACAAACAAATAAACATGTTCTATCAAGGAACACAGGCTTCTAGAAGTGACAGTTTCTTTTGCTTTCTCCATGACAAGTTTTGGAATTTCTCTTGTCAAAGCAAAAGAGTCATCAGAGGTTTTGCCTATGTTACCAGCTGTAGGGAATTTAGCACCAAGTCTAGATTTAGCTTCAGATGCTTTGGACTTGATTCTGTTAGTGTTCACCCTTGGGTCTATTATCATTATGGCTCTGATTCATTAGTGACATGAGGATATATCATCTCATCTCTCTTGCAAGTCTCGGGCTCCTGGAGGACAGGGCCCACATTGTTCACTCTTGGCACCACTATTCACCTACCCACAAGGTTTCCAGTGAGTAGAAGCAGTGCACAATAAATGAATGAATTCACAACTCCCCAAAGCCAAGGCCACAGTTACATTATGCACCTAGTTACTTTCTGCTTTGTTTCAGGAAAAGCTTGTTGGAAAAATACACTTTGAGGTCAAAGAGTTCCAACAAAATAAGCCCTCTGTGCTTCCCTCTCACTTAGGGAAGATACAGAGCTGGAGGTAATAGATAAACCTGGTTCCCATCCAAAGGACCCACCTGTAAGATGAGGGACTCCTTATCTCCTTCTAGACGTGCCAGGCGTTCCTGGTAGGTTTCGTTACTAGCAGCACCATGGTGATTTATCTGGGACTAAAGAGGGGGGGAAATACACTTAGAATGTTGGAGAAATATTATCAACCTCCAAATGAAGTATATACAAAGTATGCAATTTGTGAGGGCAGTTCCACTTATTATAAGTGCAAAAACCATCCACCAAAACAGGAAACCACAGATTTCAAAACAACTGCAAGAGAACCAGACCACATGCCATTGAAAGGTGTGCCTTGGAAGATGGTGCAACCACTCCTGATGACCTCACCCTTAGCTGGGAGGGCCTTGACAGAGCTTGAGACCAGCAGTGCTTGATTTGACTGGACATGCTGGGTCTGGTTTTACTAGAGGCAAAGTACTGAGGGGCTGGTCTTTGAGGAGACTAGGGAACTGGTACCATTCCCCAAGGAACTGCATCAGAAAACCTGTGCTGAGATCTTGGTATCTCCTAACTTTCACACCAGGGTTCTCCAGAGCCAAGGCACAACTCCGCGGCAAGGAAGCCCACCCCGAACATCACAGTAATGTGGAGATGGGAATCGGGAGATACCAACAGCAAGGCCTTTCATCTACTTACACTGCCCTTCCCACCCCAATCCCACTTCTGACAAATGTTTTGGCAGCCTGTGTTTCTGTAGAGCTACAGCTGAAAGAAGTAAGCTAGAATGAAACATGTAGAGAAGAACCTAAATAACAGCCAGAGGGTCTCTAAGAACTAAGTAGCTGGGGAAACATACCAGATGCAAAGTAGCCAGAAACTACAGAAAAAAACAAATGGGAGAGGGTGTGCAAAGGCAGAGGACAGGCAGAATCTGATAAAATGTCCTGAGATAAACACAGAAGCTGTCACTTTCTAGGGTGTGTTTGACAGAGTAGTGGGCAGCAGGAAGGGAAGGAGCTGCTAAGGCCAAAAAGCTGTGCCCATTAACAACGCACACTTCCTCCATGCTGAATGAAAGGCTGCCAACCAGAAGCTGGTGGTCTGAAAAATGGTTCTCATTGCTAAATAAAGAAACTATTATCCTTATCTTCTGGGCTTGCCCAGTGATACCAATGCTCCATGATATTCATGAGGCAAGTGTTTATTACCTGGAGAAATAAACTATTGTGCAAATGAGCAAGTCAGAGAAGCCCAGGGTTGACTTGCCTGATCCTGAAATCATTTCCCTGCATTTTAGCTTCTCTTTCCATGAGAAAAGTTACCTTCTTCTTGCCTCATTAACCCTTCCCAATGCACTGCCTAGGTGTGAACACCTGGCAAAGCCACTTCCTCTCCTCACACAGAAATGGCAACCTAGTATTTCACACTCAAGCCCTAATGAGAGAAAGCTGGCTCTCTGATGACAGTACAGTGGGCCCTTCCCAGGATAGCTGTGCCAGGCACCGTCTAAATGGTGCACGGTACCTACCTACTGAGACACCACTGTTTTGTATTCCAGCTTCCCTCAACCCTGCATCTTGTCCATTGTTATGGGAGCTTTTCATGCCACAGACAAAGGACTTTCACAATCACAATCAACTTCTTTGTCCATGGCAGTTTATTGTTGTTACATTCATTAATATACCAGGAGCTCTCACAGGGTCAAACTGTCTGACTAGCATCCAAGGATATGTCATAACCTACATTTTCTCAGGACCTGGCCAGGAAAGATAGGAAAACAATTCTCAACAGCAGGTCAAATTCTCCTCTGTTAACTCACAATGAAGACTTTTAGTGGCCAAAAAGAATAGGAAAAAGAGCCATGCATCCAAGTGCCACTCTGTACGTGAGACCGCAGTCAACATGGGTATGGAGCCTTCCAGCACTGGCAGTGCCACTTCTCCAGTGATAGAGAATAGAAAGCCAAGGAGCAAATCTCACAAGGCTCCAGTAAGCCACCACATGCCCAGTGCTATATATTCAAGTGGTCTGCAGTATGTCCCTGTAGTGAGGACTTTGGCACTGGCAGTGCCACTTCTCCAGTGATAAAGAAGAGAAAGCCAAGGAGCAAATTTCACGAGGCTCCAGTAAGCCACCACATGCCCTGTGCTGTATATTCAAGTGGTCTGCAGTATGTCCCTGTAGTGAGGACTTTGGCATCTGTTTTTAAATATAAAAGTTCACCTTTCCCTATCAGAAGCAGGGTTCAGTCAAACTTGCCACAGCTTCTAATGCTGTATCCCACTAGAATGGCTCCAACTGGGACAAGAGATAACTCAGAAGCATCTCTCCTGCTGATCACCACTTCCCACCACTTCCTTTAAAGGAACCGTTCAGACTATTTGCTGTAAACTCACAGTGACCACCTCTGAGTCACTTCCTGGAATTAATGCCTGCTTGCTTTAAACATATAAGTTAAAGCTCTCCATGGAAAACTTGTTTGGATAATCCTCTGGGCCCAATAAAGGTGTTGATCCATGTGTGTTCTCCAGCTATGCTGTATACTCCAGGGTCCGTACAGACTAAAAGCTTTTAAATTTCCACACCTTAGCTGTGTCACTAAAGCCCTGCCTGCAACCTCATCCCTGAGAGTGAGGGCCCTAAGGGACCGTTCATGCGGCCTTTGGTGGCTGTTGGGGACAGTAGCTACCAGCTGCGTTGATAATAGGACTCATTCAAAATGGTCCTTCAGTGTAATAAAAGGTCTACTCTGTATGCAGAGGTACAGCCATTTGTACTATCTGGCCAAAAAATAAGCATAAGAAAAGAAGTTAGAGTCATAAGTTAATATACAAAATATAGTTAGACAGGCCTTAACACACGCTAGACATGGATGGAATATCTGGATCCATTCTAACAGCCAATAAAAAAACAGAAGCATGGTCAGCTAAAAGATGCACAGATCAGTATGGGAAAATCAAACTGACTACCTGGAAGAGGCATCACTACTCCTGGGCAAGACAGAAACTGCTCATTTTCACAGAGAGACTTTGTGAAACAATGGGATAAACAACATCCATAATGATGCCTGTAGAGTAAAGAGCCCAGTAAAACACATTGCTCTTCTGTGATGCTTACAAAACAGGGGAACAGCTAATGGATAATATGGGCCAAAAGCCAAAGCAATTCTAAGAGGTTAATACAATATGGCCCAAGCACAGTGCTTGCTATGCATCCCAGGTACTGTTCAGAGCACTTCATGTGCACTAACTTATTTAAACCTTCTCATGACCTTATGAGATGGATTTTTATTCCCATTTCACAGATAAAGGAACTAAAGGGAAAAGTATCTTAACAAGATACAAAGGGATAATGTGCCAAGCATTATATTATCCATAATTATTATGTTTTTGTTTATACAGCTTAATGAGGGAGCAGATCAAGTATACCTTTTATCTATTTTATATATTGGGATTGTATGATTCGTCACACAAAGCTGGAAAATATCTTTAATAGGGAGTAGCTAAATAGTGGTTCATCCATAATATGGACTACTGATAGCATCTGAAAACATGAGATAAGTATTTATGAACACCATAAAAATGTAAGACATGGGATAGTAAAAAGAAGCAAAATCCAGAAGAATTATATGGTATAATAACAGCATTTTAGTTACTTGCAAAAATATATCTTCTCGAGTATCTAAAATACATTGTAAAATCCAGAAGCTTTGTTTGAGGACCAAGAACAGAGGTTCCTGGTACTTTTCCCTCCCAACAGATTTGAGGGGGCAATCCTCTCGCAGCAGTCACACCAGCCCATTGAGCGGTGGTCCTCATGGCAGAAAGGATCCCTCCCTTTAAGTGCTGTCCTAAAGAAACTTCATCTCCTTTTACACAGGTCCTCCAGAATGTGCTATAAACTTCTGAAAATTTTAAAGACAGCAGTGAAATGGAGAACACTCCAGACAATTCCACAGTATCTCCAACCTTGACTTTTGGTGAGGTACAGAGCTATATTTTCACCTTCTAGATAAGACCTACATCTTAAGAAATTTGTAGCCCCTCAGAAGGGCACAGGCCAGGATAAAATACCACCTCCAGCTGGACAAGAACCTAGGGATTATTTTAGAATGTTCTTCTTGAGGGCCAGTACTCATCAGCCAAAAGTGAGGGTTTGAGCTTAGGTGAATAAACGTATATTTCTTAGCCTACTAATAGCTCAGCAGGTTCTATCACTTTCTAGTGTCATTCTTATATTACAAAACAGCTCCATATTAGGACATAAAAAGGCACATGGCTATCAAAATTGATTCCAATTTACTGACATGAGAGAAATGTTTTAAGAGGTAGAATTAGGACATAGCTGTCTTGCTCTACTTTAAAACAGCTTGTTTTGCCAGAGGGTACACCTGTTTCCTTAATTCTAATAGTGGATCTGCAGTAGAAATCTTGGATCAACACTGAGATCACATATCTGGGGCCCTGAGTGATTCTAAATTTGGAAAGTCTCTGAAAAGTCCTGTCCACATTGTCTATTGGGAAAATCAGTGATAGAGGAGTAGCCCAGATCTTCCTGCATAAAGACAAATTGAGAGAACCACTCTCCATTGAAGAGAAGCCAAATAGGATTCTATTCGACTGACTCTATTTCTCCCAACTATGGGATGGCAGTGAATTTAAAGAAGAGCTTCACCCTCTTTTACCTTGTTAAGGATGCTCATCCTACAGACGAATATACACAAGAATGAGGTCATTTTTACTCAGCCATGGATGTTAGTCCAATGGACGACTTATGTACTAAGCTATGTTACACAAATGTTTTATCAAATTTCCTCCTCTTCTTTGTTGACAGTTATTGGTACCAATGTGACAGAAGGAAAAGTCAATCTTCTCCCTAAACTTTTCAGAGTCAGAACTGCTCCAGAGACACCGTAATTCAAGTTAGTTACCTAAAAATATTGTGAGGGTCATATGATCATTGTCCTCATGGAAATGAAACTTCAATTGCAGACTGACATTTTTAGATTCTCTTGGATTTTGACTGAAGAATCCCACAAGGAAACATACTATCTCTCTTGTGTCACAGAACTGAATCAAAATTAGGAGTTCTTGAATGTATATTGTCAAGAATTGAAAATTTTACCTAAGATTACTGAGGCCAAACTACCTTTGTCTCT